ATCAAGACACGTAAAAGTAAACTTAAAAAGTCAAGCAAAATTAAATGTTTTTTTTTTTTTTTTCAATCAATTACACACATATAAATATCTTTTATTTTGATTGGGATTAAATCGCAGCGGCCGTTTTAACGTAATACTGAGATTTATGAACTGTTACATAAGCTGGTCAGGAAAAATGAGGCTCTGTCAAGTAGGGCTTATCAGTTACCTGACAGCCGAATATTTCCATCTGTGACAGCAACTATTTATTAATTGTTCATAATATATTATTAAAAAGTGTTACAGCATTTTATTATTACAGAAGCCTATGAATTAACCGCTTAAATCATAATGAGTGAATTGATGTCCCCCGATTATTATAAGCAACCAATTCTTTCATAAAAGCTCAAAAATGATGACACCCAAGTTACATGCAGGGTATGAATTGGTATTTCCTAGCAATGGTGCAATCACTGAAAAACCTAGTCTTTCTTACAAAGCATAGAAAGCTAGAGGTTTTAAAAAAATTGATAAAATCTTGAGATTTGTTTGTTTTGTTTGTTTAGGGTTTTACGTCACATCAACATAGTAAAGGTCATATCCAGCTTTATTGGTGGAGGAAGACCTCAGGTGCCCTTCCGTGCATTATTTCAGGCACGAAAGGGCACCTGAGTAGAACCACTGACGTTCCGTAAGCTAGCTGGATAGCTCTTGAGATTTAAAAAATCATGTATATAATTATTCAAGATGTAAATAAATTAGCCGCGTCATGACAAAACCAACATAGTGTGTTTGCGATCAGCATGGATCCAGACCAGCCTGCGCATCCCCACAGTCTGATCAGGATCCATGCTGTTCGCTATCAGTTTCTCTACTTGTAATAGGGTTGGTAAGCGAACAGCATGGATCCTGATCAGACTGCGCAGGCTGGTCTGGATCCATGCTGGTCAAAACCTCACTATGTTGGTTTTGTCGTGACGGGGCTCAAATATGAAATGTATGTTGCATCCAAAATATTTTCTGTAGAAAAAAACCTGCCATATGATCTGAAAACTATATTTCATTGATATACAACATTCCCTTAAAAAAAGTGTTGTTTATAATGGAGATTGATAAACTTTGTGAAGAAGTAGGTATAATTATTAGTTGTTTTCAGGATGGTTTCTACTACTTTTAAAAATATTACAATGGTGTCCATTATTTTCAGTATTTAAAGATGAATGACTTAAATTTCAATTCAATTTATTTGCAGTATTTCGATTTTCTTGAATTTCAAAATATCACTTATAAACTTTGATAGTCATTAAATGAAACAACAGTGGAACAACAACAGTGGCCTGTTGAACAAGAAAAGTAACTATATTTTTAATTAGAAAACAAGTGATAGTGAGAAAAATCTAAAAATAAACGGACAGTGACCTTGAGTAAATCTGGGTCACACACTTCAAGGTCAAAGTCATTTATTCTAAGAAATACTCATGCATTCTAAACAATTAACAGAATAATGAGCAGTGAAAAAAAAACTTTAAAAAGTGTAAAGAAAAATAATCTAAATTAATTAATGGAAGAAGTGTTTTTTTAGCTACCATGCATATTATTGAAAGTTAGAAAACATATAAACAAGTTAGCCAAACTTCTGACTTTAAACTTCCAACCCAACCCAATATAATTACAAGTCACTTGAAACACCTTTTCCTATTTAAACAAGCAATTATCATAGTATTGCAAGCAATCCATAAGTCCCCTACCGGTTAGAACCCTAGCAACATTCTGATGGGCCATTGGCCATTCAATTTTACCAGTGAATGAATGACATGAATGAACTTAAATCTTTAAAGTTTGTCTATATCACAGTAATGTGTTAAGTTTCCCTGCCTAGTAAGGAAATTATGTTTATACAACCTTGTCATATTATTACGATGTGGGATTTTAAAGTAAATCCTATAAGGAGTGAAGAAGTTGGAGTGAAAAATACCAATTTCTCGAAAAAAATCTAAGTTCAAGGGGGACATAATTCTGGAAATAGTCTTGCTAGAGTATTTAACCTTGTCAAAAATGTTGAGTGATAATAAGAAACATATATATGAAGTTTGAAGAAAAATCTAAGTTCAAGGGGGACATAATTCTGGAAATAGTCTTGCTAGAGTATTTAACCTTGTCAAAAATGTTGAGTGATAATAAGAAACATATATATGAAGTTTGAAGTAGCTACATTAGGAAATAAAGAAGTAATTTAAAAAAGACCTTTTTTTTTTCATAAAAATTCTAAGTTCAAGGGAGGAAATACTGCTAATTTTTGTGCTAGAGTTGTAAACCTTGTCACTTATGATGTGGTTGATGACCAGAAACTTATATTTAAATATTGATGTAAACACCTTAAGAAATAAAGAACTTATAGTGAAAAAGCTGAAAAAATTAAATCAGAAATCTTGAAATTCAGGCTATTTGTTGCCATAGCAACCAGAATTTTCAACATAGGAAGAAAAGAAAAAGATGTGCATAATCTCCAGACTGCCATCTACCCATATTTCAAGTTTCATAAAAATATTTTCAGTACTTTTTGAGTTATCACTGGATCCAGTTTATGTGTTAAATTTGCCATATTTTCAGACTATTTGTTGCCATAGCAACCAGAATTTTCAACATAGGAAGAAAAAAAAAAGACGTGCATAATCTCCATACTGCCATCTACCCATATTTTAAGTTTCATAAAAATATTTTTAGTACTTTTTGAGTTATCACTGGATCCAGTTTATGTGTTAAATTTGCCATATTTTCAGACTATTTGTTGCCATAGCAACCAGAATTTTCAACATAGGAAGAAAAAAAAAAGACGTGCATAATCTCCATACTGCCATCTATCCATATATCAAGTTTCATAAAAATATTTCCAGTACTTTTTGCGCTATCATGGGATCCAGTTTTGTGGACAGACGGACTGACGGACTGACAGACAGACGGAGGGTAAACCTAAAGTCCCCTCCGGTTAAACCGGTAGGGGACTAATTACAGATTGTAAGATGGCCATGATTCATAAAAGTGAAATATTGCAAGACCATTATACTTGTGGGGCACTAATTTTCGTGTTTTTCCGTGGATAGGTCAATCAACAAATTAAGGTCCAAGGAAATTTCCTTTCGTCTGCTGTAATATTATTTTGCATTAAATTATTTATATTAAATACCCTATGGATAAATAAACAGTCCATGAATTTAAAGAACCCACAAAAAATGTTCTTTCTGACAAAACAACGAAAATTTCATGTCCATGAAATTAAGTGAATTTACAGTAGGTCAATGATATACAATATAGGTTGATTAATTCTTAAAATCAACCCCCTCCCCCCTCAATTAATCCATAATTTGTGTATTATAGTGATCAATTAATAATTTATAAATAAATTGTATAAAGTCACCAAATTACAATGAAAACCTGGGAAAGCATCAATTAATCAGTAGTTTGTATATAGTAATCAATTTTATTTTGATACATGGGTAAGTGTTAATCAATAATTTGTGAAAAGTGACCAAATTACAATGTATACATGGGAAAGTCTCAATTTTTTTAATAATTTGTATATAGTGAAAAAAAAAATATATATACATAAACAGTGACCAACTTACAACTGATACATGGGATCAGGATTATTTTATATATGAGCCGTGTCATGACAAAACCAACGTTATGCGTTTGCAACCAGCATCGATCCAGACCAGCCTGCGCATCCGCGCAGTCTGATCAGGATCCATGCTGTTCGCTATCAGTTTCTCCACTTGTAATAGGGATTGTAAGCGAACAGCATGGATCCTGATCAGACTGCGCGGATGCGCAGGCTGGTCTGGATCCATGCTGATTGCAAACCCACTATGTTGGTTTTGTCATGACACGGCTGATATAACAATTTGTTTATAGAAGAACAACTTACAGGTATATATAATTATATATATACATATACTGTATGTGACAGGTATAAAGCAGAGATTTACTACACCTATAGTTAGATATGAGGGGAGGAAGTTTGAAGTTGTGTGTTAGTTAAACAAAATTTGAAAAAGAAAATCTAACAAAGATTATTTCCTCTTCAGGGTCCACAAGCATGCTCCAATGTGCAGAGCAATTAATAAGTGTTCCACTAACAAACAAAACCATGCTTAGTAAAGCTAAAAATGTTCACCATTTCCTGGATTTGCAGACAAAAAAAATTAAAAGAAAAAAATTCATTTTTTTTTTTACAGTGAAAGTGAAATAAGCTCTTTTGTAACGTAAAAATATCCATGATTCTTGTCATAACTATATCAGATCAAAGAGTAAGACACATAGAATCTGATGAAAATGGCAGGCTAAAGCAACCAGTAAACAGTTCCAGCAATAAGCAATGGTAATTTCATGATTTTATACCACATTGTTGTCAAATAAAAAAATTCTTGGATAGTCTGTTTTAATTTTTTTTTTTTTTTGTGGCAGTCATTTTTTATTTATCACATGCAACAAAGAGTGTTTCCTAAATTTTGAGGCGGCAAAATAATGGATTAGAGATAGTCATTTTAGCCTCCAGTCACCTCTTAATGACAAGCCTGTTCCAGAAACTCAAATTTTTCACTGTTTACTTGTACAAAATGATCTATAGTTGGATACACATGACAGCAATTTCATTTTGTTTTATTTCTCCAGGAAGCTTGTAAAAACTATAAGAACCAATTATAAAGTACAATAAATGCTGTAAAACATCTTCTAGCTAAGTCCACAGCAATGAGCCACCTGTTTGCTGGCAAGCTATAAATTAAGACCGGTTTAATAAAAAAACTTAAAAATTTTTTGCTCCTTTTTTCCTCTTGGGTAAAGGGTAAGGAAACACAAATTTTTCATATTACCATGGTGTTAATATAAAGACATAATGAAATATTAACACTTCATTTTCCGACACAATAATTATTGCCCCTCGACCATCGATTTTAGTGACAAAAAGCTGCATGTTATAACAGTATATAAAGCTGAAGTTTTTCACATTGTACTAATCTCACCAAAGTGTGCCATTTTCCTCTTTGGATGTGACTTCAACACAGGTATCTCATATCTCTCTTATAGTGGAAACATTTCATCATTAGTAAAATTATACCATTTCCATACAAAACATTTCCTAGAAAAGGGCCCATAACTACATGTATGTGTCTTTTTAAAATACACATAAGGTGATCATCTTTAAAACAAGGGTCATATCTCTTGGAGTCTGTGAAATAAACATAACCTGAAAATTTTTTAAGCAAGGGCCATAACTCATTGTGTTGACTGTTTTTGTGTATTCACAAGTCAAAAATCCTTAAAACAAGGGCTATAACTATAAGTGCTTTTTAAATAACCATGAGCTTAATAACCTCAACAGGAGTTTCATAACAATGCAGGATGATTGTGTGCACAAAGAACAAGAATATCAATTACACCCATTGATAATTCATGATGTTGCCCCCCCCAATTTGTTTGTCTGGTTTTTACGCCATTTTCCACAGACTTTTGGCCATATCTTGTTGATCTGTTTACCTTACCGGTTTTTCCCAGATAAGTCATCAGTAATTTACTAATTTCCTCGTAAGTGACCGATTACTTATCACACATGATTTCTGAATCAGCAGTGAGAGGACAAATTACTATAAGACTCAATGTCAAAGATCAATAGCAAATGAGGAATTACGCACCATCTGAGGATCAAACCAGTACTCCCTAGATCACTAATATGATAATGCGATACTCTCCCTATTAAGCTAAACAGGTCAGTTTATCACCCAAATGGTTAGATACTTTCCCTATTGTACTAAATGGGTCAGTTTATCACCCAAATGGTTAGATACTTTCCCTATTGTACTAAATGGGTCAGTTTATCACCCAAATGGTTAGATACTTTCCCTATTGTACTAAATGGGTCAGTTTATCACCCAAATGGTTAGATACTGTACTAAATGGGTCAGTTTATCACCCAAATGGTTAGATACTTTCCCTATTGTACTAAATGGGTCAGTTTATCACCCAAATGGTTAGATACTTTCCCTATTGTACTAAATGGGTCAGTTTATCACCCAAATGGTAAGATACTTTCCCTATTGTACTAAATGGGTCAGTTTATCACCCAAATGGTTAGATACTTTCCCTATTGAGTTAAACAGGTCAGTTTATCACCCAAATGGTGTGATACTTTCCCTATTGAGTTATACAGGTCAGTTTATCACCCAAATGGATCATGTAGAAGTCTATTGAAGGAGCCACTTTATGCATTAGATTATTAATATTAAGGTTTTATGAGAATCATACAGTAAATGCAAAATAAGACAAGACATTTCAGGGACCATAGAGATAAAAGATCGGGAAAAGACTGGCAACTATCTACTCCACTGAAACATTTCAGGGAGCATATAAAATGTCGGACCGATCATTAGAAGATTGGTAAAAGTAAGATAAATGTTATTTAATTTTACCATCGTAATTATTTTCATCCTCCGGAGGTAGATTATCTTCGTCCAACGGTTCCTCTTCCTCCTTGTACAATCTCTCCGGGGTACGCAACACGCCAACGCCAAACTCGTAGTCAAATGCATCACTGTAGTAACAACAAATTTTTACATGTATAAGCATCTTAATTATGGCCATATCGATTTAGCCATATTAATATATCAATCATTATTCAACATTTGTTTCAATATCAATTACAAATCTGATACTCTCTGTAATGAGCTTAGCCAGTGACAAAAAAACATACATACAATACCATACAACTATTATACTTGTAAAATAAGGCACTTCAAAAATATAAAAATACTAAGTTTTTAAAAAAAACAACAAAAAAACAATTTCTCTCCATTTTTCTTTAACAACAAAAAGCTACACTAAATATAATCTCCTGAAGTAAATTATAAACATGTGGCAACTGTTGCCATGGTAACTGTTTCCATGGTAACAATACATACTGTATAACACTGAAGTAAGCATCCATAGCCTCTGGAGACTCGGTTTTCCACGTTGACTTGAAACCCATCATGAGGATGTTAGGCTTTAACTTTCCTATACCAACATTCTGTAAATAGAGAATATTGAACGATTTAAAATACAAAATTAATTGGACGAGTTGAAAAAATCATTTGATGCGAGCCTTTGGCGAGCATAATGTTGTTTTATTCAAAAGTTAAACAAATATTGCTTATTCAACAAAAACAGGATTTCTGACTTAAATTCTACAAATAAAAGTTTGTTAATCAAGCCATAAGCTAACTTCCAAATGCATTAACCCAGTGGGTTAAATCTTTTAATTTGTAAAACTGCAGGAAAACAATAAATAAAAGAATAATCATACCTGCATTAAACTTCTAGCACCTTGTCTAAAATCTGGGGCAATTGTTACACTGTAGAATGCCTTTATTCTCCTTTTTGTCAACCATTTGTTCACATAACCTCTTCTAAACCGACGGTACTCCTTTAATGCATCAGAATGGCTACCCTAGGAACATCATAAAATTACCATATCAGTTATATATCGTATTATCATGTATTGGATATATTTTACACCATGTTATTGCAGAATCCATCCATCCATTAAATAACCAATTTCTAAGTTTTCTGTAGTTTTGAAAACTACACCAAAATTGTTTCCATTGAATTAACTTTGTGATCTAGATTTTGACCCAAGATAAGCTTTATTCTTACTTTACAGGGTTCTTTTTATGTAAAAATTTATGGAATCATATAAATCAACATGTTCTTGGCAAATCTATAAAACTCATACTATCATTACTGTATATTTTTAGTTATAAAGATTGTTGACAGGTTATATGGCCCTATATAAACGGCTATTTGTAAATATAACCCGAGCCGCTTATATACGGCCATATAACCTGTCAACAATCTTTATAAAGAATTTATAATACAGCAAGCATCATTTTTTAGAGAAAAAAGTAAGATTTCTTCATGAATCGACAACAGCCGTGTATATAAAACTATATAAACGTCACGATTATCCAATGAAACATGACGTTACAAACGTGCATTATTATATTACCTGTAATATATGGCCACACACCATCAAACTATGAATACTGTATATTACCTGTAATATATGGCCACACACCATCAAACTGATCTTCTTTGTTAGAGAGTTAACAAAATATACGAGTTCTGGACGGTTACAAGGAAAACCTGTGAGCACCAATACCTGTGGTCTGAAAAAAACAACAACAGAACAATCTTACATATGTACAACTGAATATTATGACGATATCCCCTCCAAAAAAATTGTTAATTTAAACCTATGTGCCACTAAATTTATTGAACTCTAAGCCAGCTGTGGGCGAACTTAAGTTATCGTAACTCTAGTTTGAACATAACTTTTTGCGTAAGCAGAACTTACGTACTTATTTGCGTTTCACTAAACTTTCTTAGCTACGCATTTGCATAAGTTTAAACATAAAGTAATGCTCATTTATTACTGGCGTAAATTGCACATTCTGTTTAGTGAAATGCAACTAACGTAAATTTACGTTTTGTATAAGTCCAAATTTACGTTAAAAGATACGCAAAACTTACGGAATGTTAGTGAAACTCTTGCCTGCACTATAAGCTATTCAGTGCGTTTTTTGAAATTTTCCCTGTAAACGATGAATGGATTTTGTCTTAATTGAAATATGGACAAGTCATTTAAGATATTCAGCATAAAAAGGATTAAGAAAAAGTGCTGAAGGTAAACAGCTCTATACTGATACTGCAATTTTCGCAAAAAGGAACAAGAGGGCCATGATGGCCCAGAGGTCGCTCACCTGTATAAAAGCTCTAGGTCATTGGGTTTTTTTAAAAGAAGATTTTTTAAGTTTTTACTATACACATATAGTTAAAAACAATGACACCCCTGGGGCGGGGCCAGTTTTGACCCCAGGGCTTTTATATGAACAAACTTTGTAGACACTCACTAGAAGATGTTTCATGCTTAATATCTAAACTCCAGCTATTTGGGTTTTTTCAAAGAAGATTTTAAGTTTTTGCTATACACATATAAGGAAAATCAATGACACCCTGGGCGGGGCCAGTTTTGACCCCAGGGCTTTTATTTGAACAAACTTTGTAGACACTCACTAGAAGATGTTTCATGCTTAATATCTAAACTCCAGCTATTTGGGTTTTTCTAAGAAGATTTTTTAAGTTTTTGCTATACACATATAAGGAAAATCTATGACCCCCGGGGCGGGGCCAATTTTGATCCCAGGGCTTTTATTTGAACAAACTTGGTAGACACCCATTAGAAGATGTTTCATGCTAAATATCTAAACTCTAGCTATTTTGGTTTTTTCAAAGAAGATTTTTAAGTTTTTGCTATACACATATAACGTAAATCAAGGACCCCCTGGGCGGGGCTAATTTTGACCCCAGGGCTTTTATTTGAACAAACTTTGTAGACACTCACTAGAAGATGTTTCATGCTTAATATCTAAACTCCAGCTATTTGGGTTTTTTCAAAGAAGATTTTTTAAGTTTTTGCTATACACATATAAGGAAAATCTATGACCCCCGGGGCGGGGCCAATTTTGACCCCAGGGCTTTTATTTGAACAAACTTGGTAGACACTCATTAGAAGATGTTTCATGCCAAATATCTAAGCTCTAGCTCTTCGGGTTTTTTAAAAGAAGATTTTTTAAGTTTTTCCTATTGGTTGCCATGGCAACCAGAGTTTTTAATGGAATTTAAATTTTTGAACAACTTTGAAAGGGGTCCACCTAAGGATCATTTCTGTAAAGTTTGGTTGCAATTGGCCTTGTGGTTTAGGAGGGGATGTTGTTTGAAAAGTTTGACGCCATTTTTTTAAGGACGCACGGACGCACGACGCATGAGCTAAAAATAGTCCCTTGTCCGGACCTAATACTAAAAATAAGTGCTTCCAGCACGTACATGTATAATGCCAATCATCAATTTGTGACATCTTAGTGCAGTAACGTGTTAACTCCTATTAAACTATATGAGTTGTTAACACATTACTGCACTGAAGATGACAAATTGTTGATTCAGACATAAAAACAAGACTGTCAATAATATATTTATATTTCATTAAACTTGAATGTCATTGATTGCCTAAGAGAAAAATTTGTTTTATTCATAACATAAAAAAGATTCTTTTATGAGACTAAAAATATGTTATTAAAATACATTATAAAGTTATTACCAAGCCCTGATGTAATGCAAAAATTTTCAGTCATTAGTTTAAAAATGTTATTACTGGTCTTTTACCATTTATTGAAACATTTCCAGTAATTGAAACATTTCCATCAAAATATTTCTATTTACTGAAAAAAATTTCCATTTATTAAAACATTTCCATGTTTCAAAATTTTTTCATTTACTGTAAAGTTTCCATTTATTGAAACATTCCCATTTACCAAAAGATTTCAATTTACTGTAAAATTTTCGTTTATTGAAACATTTCCCTCCATTTATTGAAATATTTCCATTTACTGTAAAATTTCCATTTATTGAAACATTTCCATTTATAGAAATATTTATAGACATATCAAGACGATAAGTATACATTATGTATTACCATATTTGTAAATTAAAGAAATATATGTAGAAAATGTAAAAAAAATCTGTTTATAATTGACCATATACATGATGAGAAAATGAAATAAATATGAAATGTAAAAAAAATATATATATATGTACACGTACATGAAAAAATAAAAATCAGGGTTCTGGGTCAATGTTTCCAAATACATTTAAAGAGCATGAACAGAAATACAGCAAGGGTGTTGGATTTCTACAAATTCAATAAAATCTGTTTTAAGTAAGTAGCTCAGTTTCAATTTCATATTAATATCAACTTAATATTAATTATACAAAGAATATTTTGTATCTTTAATCTTAAATTTCAAAATGGATCATGTCTCACCAAAGAGTGAAATATAAAGATAAATTATCATAGCAGTGAAAAAATATGCTACATGATTCCAGTATATAACTGAGAAATATGGAACATTTTTACTCTGTAGTGAGATATGAAAAATATTTTCACTCTGAAGTGAGATATGAAAAATTTTCACTCCAAACTGAAAAACATAACATTTTCACTCTGCAGTGAAAAACTTTTTCACTCTGTAGTGAAATACGTAACAATTTCCCTCTGAAGAAAAAATACGAAACATTTTCGCTCCAAAAAAAAAATGATAACACAATTTTTTTACTCTGAAAAGAGATATAAAACATTTTAATTCTGAAGTGCGATATGAAAAATATTTTTACTCTGAAGTGAGGTATGAAAAATATTTTCACTCTGAAATGAGATATGAAAAATATTTTTACTCCGAAGTGAGGTATGAAAAATATTTTCACTCTGAAGTGAGATATGAAAAATATTTTTACTCCGAAGTGAGATATGAAAATTATTTTCACTCTAAAGGGAGACATGACCCATGATTTTTGAATCTGTAAAGAGAGATAAATGTCCATTAGACTTGATGTTCAAGATCAACTGTCACAGAGAAAATTAACCTCACCCAACAGGACCAGCCAACCCCAGGATTACAAATATGATTCTCTCCCCTACTGAGCTAAACGAGCTGACACATATCAGTTATAAAATTAAAATGAGCCAACATAATGTTGATCCATGCTGTTCGCTATCAGTTTCTCTACTTGTAATAGGGTTTGTAAGCGAACAGCATGGATCCTGATCAGACTGCGCGGATGCGCAGGCTGGTCTGGATCCATGCTGGTCGCAAACCCATTACGTTGGTTTGACGCGGCTCAAATATCTTAACACCAAATGAAAGATGTAAACATTAACCTAGTCTAAAGCAATGGTTAGCTGCCTTATTATCTAGAAAATCACACTGACTTTTAAATATACTTACACATAAATGTACATTAAATGTTGACACGTTTTGTTTTTTTATTTAGATATCTCTCAATTATTAAAAATATTACAAAATGCTCACACAATAAGTTTCTAGCCTAATCTCATGGATGAAATTTTACACTTCATACTAGTTAAAAACTATTATCTACCTTCCAAGAAAGATTATTTGGAAAAATGTTTGCTTGATGTGATTATCATATGGCTTCTATATGGTGCCCATACCTGTATTATTTATTTCAGACACAGACGGGAACCAGAGTGGAAAAGATTTATGGTGCCAATCCATGCTTTATTTATTCCAGCCACAGATGGGAACCAGAGTATTTAGATTTATGGTGCCCATCCATATATATTTTAGGCATAAACCGGGATCACAGTGGAAAAGATCTATGGTGCCCTATTCCCTGCATTATTTTTTCAGGCACAGACAGGAACCTGAGTAGAACCACAGATCTTCAATAAGCTAGCAGGCTAGCTTCCAAAATTGAAATTACTGGAATCCACACTGCGGTGACGGGCATAATGTATGAATTTGGCAACCAGAACCATTCAGTCAGTGTGGCCCCTCTTCATAAATGGGTGTCTTATGGTCACTTCTTTTATATTTGTTGTATAACTCCTCTTATATTTGGTAGATATCTCTTATATCTGGCAGATATCTCTTACATTTGGTACAAGTATTACTTCTTTTACATTTTGCATTAGTTAAAAAAAAACAATTTGCTACAAAGTTTCCTTCCTGTTGCATTTTTAAGAGAATTAAAATCTCACAATGGACTAAATGTTACGTCTTAATCTAGCAATTTCACACATGAACTAATCGTTACATCATCATTTAGCAATCACACATGAACTAAATATTATACTTTGTTACAGATAATGTTAGAGGTTTGAAAAGTAAAGTTAGTACACAGCAAAGTAGTCTCAGTACCTGCGCCTCATGTCAACATCATCTTACCTCTAGGGGAAACAAACAAAATAATAAAAACATATATACACAATATCAAACAGAAACACAAAAACATATCATAAACAAGAGCTTTCGGTAGAACAGCATGCTCAAAATTCTCAGTGCTTGATAGCAAAACAAGAGCCTGGATAGTGTAGAATTTTCAAAAAGGGCCATAATTCTGTCAAAATTCATGTTAGTTTTACAGGCCTTAGAGATTGACCTCCTATTATGCTATCAAATAACTGTGTGAAGTTTCAACCCATTCCTTTCAGTAGTTTTAAGAGATACCAACTTGCTTGCAAACACTTAACCAGTGTGACACTGATGCCTTGGTGAGTACAATAGCTTTCCCTATTCTACCAATGGTCATGCTAACAAGACAATCAACAATAATTATCAGTATCATCACCGGCCTAAATGAATACTAGACTTTGTTTTTCTACATTAAATATAAGTTTGGCATAATAGACATTTACATTCTGTTTTAAGAACAGTATCTTTAAATCTTAAAATTTTGTGTTATCTTAGATTATGTCACCCACCTTAGTGGAAGTATGATAACAACTTATTCAAGGTTTTCAATTTTGTGTTATTTAAGATTATGTAATCCATCTTGGGTGGCCTTAATTGTAGAAGGACGGTAATGATCCAACTTGGGTATGTTAAGTAGAAGGAGTATGGTAACAACTTACCTAAAGTTTTTTATATGATCTTCAGTTTGTGCTAGTTTTAAAGTTGCTGTTAACGCACCTCTGTAGACATGTGCCTGCGTAGATGATCCCCAATTTACATCTAAAATAAAACATTTACCAGAAGTGTATAAAGGTAATATAAAACATCTTGATTATCGAATAAAAATCAATGTTACAAATTATACCAGTGTGATAAATATAATTTCTTTAATAACGCTATGCTTTAGGATCTGACAGTCACCAATAGGAGGTCATCTTCTCCTGACCTTTCAATCAGCCAATCAGCTAGCATTCTATTTTTGAAAGGGCATCAATTCTATTCTTAACTGTTGGGAAACCAAATATGCATGTGTTATTTTCACAACATCAAGATATAACCCTTGGGAAAAAAAAGTGGTACACAGTCATGTAAAGTTATAATAAAAAATTTTTTCGTAACCAAAAATCAATGTCATGTTTTACCACCATTGATAATTTATCAAAAGCCTCTTTGATTGGGGGGCTTAAAAAATAGCATTATTAAATGGAAGGCAGATCAGAGTTGGTGTTGCTTAGAATAAGACCTGAAATACAGTCAAAATCAAAATGTACAGTTTATTTATATTTCTTGTGTCACAGCAACACTGTAAAGGTCACATAGCCACCTTTTAGCTTTACTTGTGTTGGAATACCTCAGATCCCCTCTCTTTGCACAAGTAAGGACCCAAGTTGAACCATCTTGATTTCCTAAGCTAGCTTAACAGCTTCCTCATATAAGACTCCAAAAGTCCCCAGATTGGATTTGAACCCACAGAAAGTGATTTGAGGACAGCAACAACCACTTCACTAATTGCTTAAGAAAATACTTTTTAAAGGATATAAAATTATACAAAGCTGCATACTGACCTGGTTTTCTGTAGTGAACATACACAAAGATGGCACCAATCACACCAAATGTAATAAGAGCTGTCCACCAATTAATTATAAACATTACTGTGACACAGAGTAAGGCACCAATTAGACTTAACCACATGTTGTAATACTTGAATGATGGTCTCCAACCTGTAAAATCAAAATTTCATACTGAATTTCAATAGTGGTGTACAACCATAATTTATAAACACTTTTTTTTTAGAACCGTATAACCTCTGTACAGCAACACCCTTTTTGACACAGAGAGGTATTGCACTAAAAAGGTAAAATTTATTATGAAGCATAAAAAAACAATGTAATAGTTGTTGTAAAAGAGGTGATAACTTTACAAAAGGTTGCTCTGCCGAGGTTGTACTGTATTTCTTTTTGTTCCTTTTAAATTTTTTTTGTTTTTGCTTAGGTTCTGAATAATCTGAAACTGTTAATGGTCAAATGATGACAAATCAGATTCAACAATAGTGACAAAAACCATTTAGAAGGTGATAGTGATTCTTACTATACTGTGACAACTGCATATGAACATCAGATGAAAGTAATTCTCATTATAAGTAAATTTCATACAAAGATGCATAAGCAAATTTCACATTTTGTGAATTTTCCACCCACTAAAACTCTGTTACACTATAAGTTATAAAGATTTTTGACATGTTATATGGTCCTATATAAACAGTTGTTTGTATGCATTGTAAACAACTGTTTATTGCGGCCATATAACCTGTCAGAAATCCTTACAACGAAAATATGTGATACAGAAAACTTCCCTTCTAGAGAAAAATTTTTTAATTTTTTTTGGATGAAATGAAAGCAGCCTTGTATATAATTCTATATAAACATCAGGATCATCCAATGGAAAGCGATGTTACAAATGTGCAGTATTAATAATAACATATATAAATGGTAAATTGTAAAGGTTCTCTAAAGATTTTGCAGCAAGATGCCAGCCACTTCATAAACAAGTGAGCACCCTAGTAGAACCACCAACCTTCCCTAAACCAGCTGAAAGATGCAAAAGTCACTGGCAAGATTTGAACATGAAACAGTAAGGGGAAAGTGGATGTGAAGTCAGCAACCTATACCATTTGGCCATGGAGGCCACCTAGGTACAGCAAAACAAAACAAGTTAATGGTTAACTTAAAGGTACATTATGCCTCAGAAACAAATGAATTTTTACTTCTTTAGAAAGGGCAAACATGAATCTTATAATAAATTTTAAATAATCGTTTTTGAGAATGTTAGATGCTTGTTTCTGGAAGAAAGTAATGATAAATGTGAAATAATTTCTGATAAAGTAGCAGAATGTAAACAAAGTAGTATTTTGACTTCCATATAAAACACTAATTTACTATAACTTGTACTAATTGCCAAAATAAAACATATTAAAAGATGGTTCAGGTTATTGGCCAATAAGTAACATTTGGATACTAGAAAGGTATACCAAAATTAAAAAGCTTTTGAGAAATAAATATAAAAGCATTTCTGAGGCATAATGGGCCTTTAATACATAATTGGGAACATACCTGGAGATTTGGCAAGAGAGTTATCAAAACAGGAATAGTTAATTAACATATACGCCATCAGGAAGAAGTTGGAGATTATAGGGGCTATGGCGTTTAAATCTCCTGTAATATAAAGAAAACAATTAGTTAATACAAATAATAAATGCAAATCACAATGGATATTGACAGGGGCTAAAAATTCCGCTCATAGGTTAAAAATTAGTTAATAAAAACAATAAATGTAAATATCAGTAATATTAATATATATCAAAGGCGTTAAAAATTCCTTTGGTCTGTAGTATTTGATAGTAGATTCGGTCATAGGGCAAGTTAAATTTTTCAAATGCTTGTCTTATGGGGCTAGTTGTAAAATTTGATGTGCAAGTGAAAGCCGTTTTTGTTCAATCTAACTTACTTGTATGCCATTTCAAAATATGAAAATATGCAAATGTAAATTTATAAAGCCTGAGGGAGAGTAATTACTGACTGAGGAAGAAAAGCATTTTGCAGGCACTTGTCCTGCAAGACTTACAATCTTAAAGAATTTTCAACCCCTTATATAAAATGTTTCTTAAATAAAAGCAAATTTTCGAGTATGCATGTCAAACGTTTCTATCAATAAGAAGAGTTTTTTAGATTAAAGTATGCTTTTGAATTTATAAATAATGTTCTTTTTAGAATATCTTTAAAATAAACGTAAATTAACTTAGGAATTTTTACCCTCTATGTTAAGAATTAAAGCAGCATGCCTTGAGATTCATACATATTATCATGAAAATTTTGAAAATGTATTTAAAAGTATGATATTGTCAAGTGTGTTAATCACATAGTAGAAATATGATGATTAATACTGCAAAATCAGTCATTTATCGCAAATAACATGAAAACTATTACTTGTATCTTAAATCTTTTTTAAATTTTCTTGATATTTTCTGAATTTTGATTTTTTAAAAATATTTTGGCTCATCTGAAGGCATGTAGCTTTAATGCTACAACTTACCAATGAGTATAAAACCTAAACCAATGGCATAAGCTAGGACGTAAGCCCGTCTCGGGTTCTCGCCGTTTCCATAACCTTTCGCAAAAAATTGAACTTTGGGAAATATCTTGTCTTTACATACTGCCTGCGAAAAAACAAATATATATTTCTGTATGGAGAAATAAACAAGATATATAAATAGGTTCGATTTAAAAAAGACACAAAGACTGCAGGCAGTGTTAACATACTATTACAGTTTTAGTTAAGTATAGAGTGAATCCTTACCAACAACTACTTTATTTAAAACAATTCTACAAGGCTACATGTAACTATAGACTTCTAAAGAAAGCACCAGTCACTCCCTTCTTTTTACTCTAATTTATACAACATAATAATCTCTATTGCCACACCCAACATCATTGATAACTGATACCATCAGAAGTAACACATTTAATTAAGAGTGACTTTGCTCAGTTTGCTGTTGTTGTTAAGTTTTGTTAACTTACACTAACACTGTAACAGTGATTATGTCTATTATCCAGCTTTACTGGTGAAAAAGACTTCGAGTGGCCCTCTGTGTATATTTCAGGCACAAGCAAGCAACTGAGTAGAAGCACCGACATTCTGGGAGCTTGCTAAACTGATTTGCCACATAAGTTTAAAGTTAAAAGATCTCTGCAGAATTCCAACTCACAACAGTGAGGGATAAATGGTTTGTAGTCAACAAATTTAACCACTTAACCTCTCGGCAACAGGTGCCCAAAGAGAACAATTGATAAATGTTAGAATTGTTGCTACTCTGTGGCTACCTCACATCACAAAATTAGATATTCCTGGCTAAGTTTGTACCAAAAACAAAGATAGTGATTTCAAGCAAGCAACCTAAGTCTCTCCACAAGTAACGTCCCTTGATAACTTGTAATAAACCAAATAAGACAGAATATATAAACAAGAAAAATATAAATACCTGAAAGACTTTTGGCGCAGAGACAAGACTTGCGAGTGCCGACGACAAAGTTGCGGAGAAGATACCAGCTGTAATCAGAGGTCCAAACCCTGACATCATCTCCATAACCTGAAAATATACGGTGCAATTATAAAATATTCTATAAGAATATTGAGGCATCCATGGCCGGGTGGTTAAGATTGTTGACTTCAAACCACTTGCCCAACACAGCTGTGTGTTCGACTCCCGACAAGGACATTGGATTTTTTTCATGTGAGGAAGCTATCCAACTAGCTTACGGAATGTTGGTAGTTGGTTGGTTGATGTTTATTGCAAATATACAAGTATGAAGGTATGGGTTCAAATGAAGGAAATCTTGGTTTATTTGAATTGACATAAAATTTGGTGTCAGGGAAAGTGTGTCAGTCTTCTTGCTTACCCATTAATGACAACCATCATAATCATCCGGCCCTTATTATCATTTATTATATCACAGTATAATTGTAATTTGCTTTGTATTAATTTTCTCAGGCCTCATAATTATATTACAGTAAATCTAAAGACTAAATTCAAAATTTTGCAGACTGCAGTATTATCTCACACCTGTGCTGCTTTTACGACTAAATAAAAATTGTTATGCACTGTCTGCAGTGACGTCAGTTGTGTTATATAAACATAGCGTTAAGACGTGCTAGATGTTAACGTTATACTAAAGGCGTGTCAATAAAAAATGATTCTTTTTCACTACAAACAGTCTTTATTTTTGGTATGTGATAAATAGAATATTGAATATGGTGTAAGTTCATTACTGAATTTATTGAACTCGCCAGAGGCTTGCATAATATAAAGTTTTATTCAACTCATTCAATAAATTCAGTATTAAACTGACACTCATTCAATATCCACTATATCAGATAGCTTACTTAAATTTTCAATCCATATCCTTAATTCAACAGATAATTGGTAATTATATGTAATTAATAACAACACTGTTCGTACCTGATAATCATGGATTAATCCGTATTTACACTCCCCAGCCTCCGCGAGGCTACAATTCTGTATGTTATGGAAAGTATAAGGTAGTTTGGCTATCACTGTTGACATTGTAGAGTTTATTAATGACGGTATTTCCGTGGTAGAGGTTGTATTTACTGTATCAATTACCATGGCAACAAGTGGCCCGGTGGCGTCCCTCACTATACAGCTGCCTAGTAACCATACAACAGCAATATATGACACACTTGATATGCCTATAGCTATAAATGTTCCCAATGGAATGTCCTTTTGAGGGTTCTGAAACAAACAAACAAAATCTATCAAACTTTCACATTTCCCTAACTTTATTCTTTTTTTTGTTGGGTTTTATGTCACACTTACACAGAATAGGTCATATGGCGACTTTTCAGCCTAACTGTAACCCCTCTACACTTATTTCAGGCACTGAACCAGAGCCGAACCACCAGCGGTACGTAAGCTAGCTGGATAGCTTTCTCACATGTAGACTGTAATGACAATTGAGGGGCTCGAACCTACAGCAGTAAGTGGCAAGTGGTTTTCAACGACCTTAACCACTCGGCCACAGATGCCCCAACCTTTATTCTTTTAATAACAAAATGTAGCATACACCCACGCCACTGCTATTGTGACATAAATGTTAGCATTACACTATAACCTCATTAATGAAAACTGATATGTGGTATAAAGGATATTATATTCAAGCAGCTTCGTTACTGAATTTATTGAACATGTTGCTTAGATTTAGTATTGAATCTTCACGAATTCAATATCCTTTAAGTATGTGCTTGGGTGAGAATAAGTATGGTATTTTTTAATGGTTAAGACTCCGATTTGTTTTTTTCAAATACAAAAATTTAAATACCAACTAGTATAGAGCCTGGTCAAGATTGCATCAATTTGCAAGCTGACCTGGCTCTATACTGGTGTCAAAGGCTAGTCACTTTCGTTTCCAGTAGGTTAAAGGTTACAGGCATAATCATGCAGCCATTCTTGTCCTAACACTTAACCTTTAACCTTTTAAAAAGAATAAATTTGAGCCACGCCATGACAAAACCAACATAATGCATTTGCGACCAGCATGGATCCAGACCAGCCTGCGCATCCGTGCAGTCTGATCAGGATCCATTCTGTTCGCTTACAAACCCTATAACAACTAGAGAAACTGATAGCGAACAGCATGGATCGTTATCAGACTGCACGGATGCGCAGGCTGGTCTGGATCCATGCTGGTGGCAAACCCATTATGTTGGTTTTGTCGTGACATGGCTCTAATAATTTTGATCAACTGACCTTTAAATCCCCTGAGATATTGGCTCCAGCAAGAATACCCGTGGCAGCCGGGAAAAATATTGAAAACACAGAAAAAAAACCTTCCCCGTCACGGAAGTTCGGACCAAAATTGTCTACAAACACATCCGCTGAAATATATTAACATACAAAAATAAGAAAGGTAACAAAGTACAGGATAATTTTTAAATGTAAATCTTTTATCCTATGAGCAGGCTTCTTATGTAGCAACGACGTTGAAATATCTTTATTTTATTGTAAAGGACACTTTGACAGTGACTCAATAATAATTCTATATTATACTGTATTGTTTAGTGTGGGCCTATTGGTGTTTGTTACTCAGAACATCTATATTTCCTAACAGCAGTTATTTTTCATGACATGGAAGTATTTTGATTGGTAATTTGAATAGTGATTTACATTGATCAACACTAAACTGCTCAATGCAATATCTAAGTACATTTTCATTGGCACACCAACACAGGAAACACCAACATGGCGCCAAAAAGGAAAGATGATTTTGGTTTCCCTCGGGTGTTACTAACTTTAAGCAACACCAGGAGTCAAAATCACCTCACCTGCTGTAGCTCCGAGATGCATAGAATGTCACTCCAATTATTCATACCCATTAAGTTGCCTCTTACGAGCATGCAGTGTTAAATGGTGGCTGCAATTCTGATTCCTAAACCCGTAAAGGCAACCCCTTAGCCACAAGGGGAACCAAAGTCAGAAAATTGAACCAAAGAGAAAGAAGTTAATGACTACTTTTAATAGTTTTCATTCTTACCTCTATACCCTGTAAATCCCTTTGATAATTTCTCCTCGGTTGGTGGAAGAAAAGTTCCTATCACAAAGTTTAACATTGCTATCAGTAAAACACCTAATAATATAACCTGAGCCTGAAAATGTATAAAAATACACGAGTTAAGCAAAGTTTTATTAATAAAATAAAATCATTTATTCATACAGATTGTTTTCAAAATATTCACAATGAATTGTTTTCAAAATCTTATCTTGACTGTTCACAATGATATATCCATAAAACTAGAAATATTTGGCTGACACTTACCATTATGTGCTAATGTCCCGTGGACGGACATTATTGATTCGAGCATCCCTTAAAATTTCGTACTTATTTTTAACAAATAATTACTTGTTTTTCTTTCAACTCTCTATTTTAAACTAGAACTATCCACTTACTGTAACTTTTTCTTCTCATCTTCCTTACACAGTTAATGTATAACTATAAATTTTCCATCAATTTATATGTGTATATAGCAAATATAATACTGAAGGCTAGCTTTGAATTGCTCTAGAGAAAAGATACAACTTTGGCCTCCTTCCTAATTTCATTAACAATATTCAACAAGACAGAGTTTCTTTAGCATTTTTTTCACTAGCATCTAGCATTAACTCTTGTCACCTAAATCAATGTAAATGGCTATAAAATCCAGTATAAGAACATTACAGAAGCAATAACTGTAGCCTGCAGCAATTTTAATCAAGGATCTAGACTTATTCTGATTTCCCTCTCAATTTCATCAGCTATTTTAGACACCCATCTAGGACTTATCTAGGCTCCCACTCAATTTCATAATTTTTTTTTTACCAAACATCTAGGACTTATTCTAGTTTCCCCTTAATTTCATAGACAATTTGAACCAAGCATCTAGGGTTTACTCTAGCCTCCAACTCAATTTCTCAGCACTTTTATCAAGCATTTAGGACTTATTCTAGACTCCCTCTCAATGTCAAAAGCATTTCTAACAAAGCATCTAGGACATATTCTAGCCTCCCTCTCAATGTCAAAAGCATTTCTAACAAAGCATCTAGGACTTATTCTAGCCTCCCACTAAATGTCAAAAGCATTTCTTACAAAGCATCTAAGACTTATTCTAGCCTCCCTCTCAATGTCAAAAGCATTTCTAACAAAGCATCTAGGACTTATTCTAGCCTCCCTCTCAATGTCAAAAGCATTTCTAACAAAGCATCTAGGACATATTCTAGCCTCCCTCTCAATGTCAAAAGCATTTCTAACAAAGCATCCAGGACTTATTCTAGCCTTCCTCTCAATTCCATCAGCAATTCAATCAAGCATCTAGGCATATTCTTGCCTCTCTCTCAATTTCAAAGACAATTTTTACCCAGCATCTATGACTAATTCTAGCCTCCCTTTCAATTTCAACAGCATTTCTAACAAAGCATTTAGAACGTATTCTAGCCTCTCTCTAAATTTCATCGGCAATTTTGACCAAGCATCTAGTACTTATTCTAGCCTCACTCTCAATTTCTTTGGCACCAAGCATCTAGGACTCATTCTGGCTTCCCTCTCAATTTCATCCGCAATTTTAACCAAACATCTAGGACTTAATCTAGCCTCTCCCTCAATTTCATCAACAGTTTTAACTCAGCATCTAGGACTTATTCTAGCCTCTCTCTCAATTTCAACAGCATTTCTAACAAAGCATCTAGGACTAATTCTAGCCTCCCTCTAAATTTCAGCAGCAATTTTAACCAAGCATCTATGACTTATTCCTGCCTCCTCTCAATTTCATCAGAAATCTTAAAGCATCTAGGACTGATTCTAGCCTTATCAATTTCATCAGCAATTTTAACCAAGCATCTAGGACTAATTCTAGCCTCCCTCTAAATTTCAGCAGCAATTTTAACCAAGCATCTATGACTTAATCTAGCCTCCCTCTAAATTTCAGCAGCAATTTTAACCAAGCATCTATGACTTAATCTAGCCTCCCCCTCAATTTCATCAACAGTTTTAACTCAGCATCTAGGACTTATTATAGCCTCTCTCTCAATTTCAACAGCATTTCTAACAAAGCATCTAGGACTTATTCCTGCCTCCTCTCAATTTCATCAGAAATCTTAAAGCATCTAGGACTGATTCTAGCCTTATCAATTTCATCAGCAATTTAAACCAAGCATCTAGGACTTATTCTAACCTTCCTCTTAACTCCATCTGCAATTATAACTGGCAACTAGAAGGACTCAGCTACCCTCTCAGTTTCATCAATTCTAAACAAGCATCTAGGACTTATTCTAGCTGCACTCTCAATTTCATCAGAAATGTTTAAGCATCATAGACTTATTATAGCCTCCCTCTCAATTTCATTGGCACCAAGCATCTAAGACTTATTCTAGCCTCCCTCGCAATTTCATCAGCAATTATACTCAAGCATCTAGGAGGCCCCTCTACCCCCCCTGCTCAGTTTCATTAGCAATTTTCATAGTGCGCCTAGGACTTTCCGTGTCCCACCTCTCAATTTCTTAAGGGCACAGGAACTCTCAATTTTTTTTAAACAAATTTGGGGGAAAAAAACCCAAAAAACTTGAATGCTAATTTTAGCCTATTTTACACTAAATTCTAGCACTTACTCTAGCCTCCCACTCCATTCCTATTATTGCAATGGCAAGTAACAAGGTAATTGTTATAAAACCTATTATTCTAATATCATTCTGCTCATCTACCATCAATGCATTGTTGACCTGAAATAGAGATCAATAATAATATACACTCAATTGCAACTTATTACTATAATTAAATAACGTTAAGAGGTCATTAAGTGCAAGCACCTGCAAATTCTTAATTGAATTTCTCGGAATCAGCCACAGAAGTGTTCAGGGAATTATCGCAATGAGGTGAAAGATAGGCTACCATTGCCATATCATTTTATTATTTTATTATATCAATTGAATGGCTTTTCTCTTGAGAGATGACTGTTGCAAAATTTCCCCCTTTTATATTTCCATGCTGTACAGGAAATGTTTAACCTAAAGCTGGTCTAAAAAAATAAGCTTATGGCATAAATTCATAAATGATGCACTTTGAGTCATAAAAAAGTTTAAAGTTCAATCATTTGCAAATTTATTATATTGTTCTATATGCCTGCAGTCATTATAAATTTAAATATTCTTTATATAAAGCCCCAAAAATTTGCTTCCATTTTCATTATAGCATTTTATTTTTGTTGTTCTGTTACGGTTTTTTAATGGTATAATTCATTGTCCATATACATATATAATATCTTTTGCATTTTGGTCAATAATGAAGTTACTGATTTAGTATTTAGTGTGGAAAAGACAAAGTACTGCTTTGCTTATAAGTTTTGCTATTTTTTTGGACAAATTGTTTCACATTCAGTGCATTCACTTCAGGTGGCAAGCATCTATAGAAACATGCTATAATACAAATCCATTATTAATATATTTTAAAAAAACTCAGGTTTAACCCTGGCCCTATCTTCAGAGCAAAAAAATCATATTTATCTCTGAGGCTTACTTTGCCTTTAAAACAGGGCAAGATTAAGGGATGTGAATGATAAAATGTGCCAAATTTGAAAAAGTATATTAGTTTATTAACTATGTTAAATAGCAGGTTTTTTATGAATTCCATAATCAAGAGTTTGTGACAGAATTCACATTAGCCGTTATAAACTGTTTGGTACAAAATTTGAAACCAAAATGCATGTATCCCCATTCGAAGAAAAATTACCCCCATCATTTTGTCAGATACCTTACAGACTGACAGTCTCCTTTGATCATATTTCTTTGATTTCACACAAAAAAAGAAAATATTTAAACATAACCAGACAGCTGGGCCCAAACCAGTATACATTCCTTACAACTTTTGTTTTGTGGGTGGTTATAAATAAGATGAAATAAAAAAAAAGTAGACAACATTTTCAGCAGACGACACAATTTTTACCAGCATGCAACAGCCTTAATATAAATTAATTCATTAGTATACAGTGCATGTGCACCGACGTCATTTCTTCATCTTCATTACAATAGATTTGTTCACACAATTTTTAACTGATTACGTATTTAGATATGCAGTATTGCGCAACATTTTAATGTTTTAATCTTAAATCTGTCTTATTGAAATAAATCAGCTGGATTTTACGATGAAAATGACGTTAACAGGTCAGATAATGTCATCGCATCATCAAGAAAATTCACATAATTTATGTAAATTTCTTTACTTAACCGTTAAACAGCCTAATCTCTTAATTGAATTGGTTTATCTACCATTTTAAGCACAATCAATTATCAATTTTTGGGGACCATTATCAATTATGGGGATATCAATATACAAATGTTAAGTTAGTCTGCCAACAGTATAGAGCCTGGTCAGACTGCACAGATGTACTTGTTTGTTTGCTTATTTTGTTTTGTTTGTTTGTTTGTTTGCTTGCTTAATGGGTTAATTTGGAAATTTACTTTTGGGATGTCTGTTAAGAATAGTTGCTAATATGAAAACATTATCCTTATTTGTAAATCTAAACAGGGTTCCAGCCGACAGTGGGACTGGGAAACTGGGAGAAAGAAATTCAAAGCCAGTCATTTTAAAAAATCACTATAACTATGGGACCCACACTGCTTTAAAATTAAAAATAGTTTTTAAAACAAAACACAATAATCAAAGATCAAATAATTTGATATTAACATGTACTTTTAATCTCCCCAAGAAAAAAGGGGACTTAAGAATGTTATCAATAAAAGCATTGTTTTGTAAAGTAAAAAATACGGACATAAAAATATTTGTATCACTGCAGGATATACACCTTAACTTCAAAGACACCTACTTAGGTTAATAATAAAGTTTTCAAACAAGTCTATAGCAAATATCCATATAAACTAGAAAATGTGTCCAAATAGGACACGTGGATGCCCCACAGGACGCCACTGTTCGTCAAATTCTTATTGACTCTAGTCAAATATTTTTTGGACTACATGTGCCACAAGTTTGAAAAACTCAAAAATCAACAAAGGGCCCATAATTCTGTTAAATTTGGTCGCAGCAAAAAAAATTCCTTTCTTTACTACCATCTACACATTAAGGTTGTTAATCCCTGAAGTTTAAGCAAAAATCTGCCCATCCGGTGTTTAAGAGGATTTGCATTCACAAAAATTTCAACATAGTATATAATGAAAAAATCAAAAAAGGGGGCCATAATTCCCCTGTTAAAATTTGGTTTGCAGCAAAAAATTCCTTTCTTTATTACCATCTACACATTAAAGGTTGTTCATTCCTGGAAGTTTAAGCAAAATCCTGGCTATCCGGTTAAAGAGGAGTTGCATTCCACAAAAAATTTCTACATAGTATAATAGGTGAAAAAAATCAACAAAAGGGCCATAAAATCTCGGTAAAATTTGGTCCGAGCGGAAAAATTCCTTCCTTCCTTTACTACCATCCTACACCCTGAAAAGGTTTGTTCATCCCGTGTAAGTTTAAGCAAATCTGCCAATCCGGGGTTTAAAAGAGGAGTTGGGTTCACAAAATTTCTACATAGTAACAGTCGAGACTGTCTTTATGTTGACTTTCCAAGGGACCTTGTCAGAAAAAGGTCACATATGACAGGGAGTTCTCTTAAATACAGTCTCAAAGAAAATTAAAAATTTAATATCATCTATCTGTCTAAATATACATTGTGGCCTTTAAAAGATTCCTGTATCATTATGTTTTGTGATTGATATTGTTTACTGTGTTTAATACACACTTGCAAAAAAAATATATATGGAATAATTATGCAATAAAACAATTTTTCAAACATCAAAGAATATGTAAAATGTTGTACTGCAAATATTTGTGCACATTATAATTAATCAATAAAATTACATGCATTGATTTCTTATTGGTAAAAATTTAACTTAGAATTTATAGAAAAGAAAGTTCCTAATTACCTCCCTTTAATGGCCTTTATTTACATGAAATGTTAAATTGGGTGATATCTTTATAAATAATGCTTATTTGAACTTACGATATTGACCAAATCTTAATTTTAGCATCATATTTATGAAATAAATCCATGAAAAAAATGTGTTACAGGGATCTTTAAACATATCCATATTCAAAAGCTTTTTTTCTGGTTTGGTATCAAATATTTTCTCCGTATTAATTATGCAGCCATAAGAAAAGGTAAATTAAAAAAAATTCTGCCTAAAAAATCTTCCGCTGGCACTCTATAATTAAAAAAAAAATCTAACACAAGTCTTAGCCAGTTTACTCAGGCCATAATGTACATTACACACACATCGATTGCATAATGCTTCGCTACGTCACTCGATACCTGTACTGTATACAAGTTAACTGTGTAATTGAGATAGAGGTGTGTAGACTTTGTTTGCTACTGGATTATAATTGGACTTAATTATTTTGGCCCTCTGGGGTGTTATAATAGGTATTATATATCTGATTAACGGACAAATAAAAGGTGTGAAAGTCGTTTAAATCAGACCAAACATTGCATTGGGACCAGACAATTAGGGTCGCTTGTCACATATGACAGGGAGTCGTTTAATTCAGACCATTTATATAGGAAAACACGTTGGGAGTACTGAAACAAGGTCGGATAAGACAGGGAGTCGTTAAAATCAGGGGGTCGCTTAGGCAGTCTTGACTGTATATAGTGAAAAAATCAACAAAGGGCCATAATTCTGTTAAAATTGGTCGCAGCAAAAAATCCTTCCTATACTACCATCTTACAACATGAAGGTTGTTCATCCCTGTAAGTTAAAGCAAATTCTGCCATCCCAGTTTAAGAGGAGTTGCGTTCACAAAAATTTTCTACATAGTATCTAGTGAAAAAATCAACATAGGGCCATAATTCTGTTAAATTTGGTCGCAGCAAAAATTCCTTCCTTTACTACCATCTACACATTAAGGTTGTTCATCCCTGTAAGTTTAAGCAAAATCTGCCATCCGGTTTAAGAGGAGTTGCGTTCACAAGATTTCGGGACGTACGCACGGACGGACTGACGGACGGACGGACTGACGTATTGACGGACGGACGGACAAGTGCAACGTTATATGCTCCCACATTGTGGGGGCATAAAAACATTTTAATTTCATGATAGTACTGGAATGGCAATAACCTGTCACACTGAAGGTTCTATAATTGCCATAAAAGTCAAAATGTCACATAATGCAATGTTTAAATGTTGAATTCTGCTTAAGCCGGGGGTGCTAAGGGACATGGACTGTAACTTGCATATTCCATTACCATCTATGAACAGGCTCAATCAAACCTAGCCTGCAACATTTTCAATTATGTCATTTTGGGTGTTCTTTAGGGATTCCTTTTTCTCTTTTGTATTTTTAGCTTTTTTACAGCTATTTTTACAAACTACATTATAAAATTTCTAACTTTAGCACTTAAGCGTTTAGTACGATTGCTTCACACGATGAAAATTATTAATAAACAATACTTACCAGCAAGAGATCTCGGACGGTCTCCGCAAAACCTACGACATACATTGATACAGCGACAGCGTTGGCAACAGAAAATATCATTCCAATAGCACCACCATACTCTGGGCCAAGGCTTCGCGAGATCATAAAATATGCACCACCTTTGGAAAAAAAAAGTATTATACATTATCCTAATTGTTTTAAGTAGAAGGCACACAACATTGTTTTTATCTATTGATCTACATGTATTTGATCGAGTTTTAAGTCATTCCAATGCTGTAGATGTCATATGGTGACTTTTCAGCTATCCTGGTGGAGTAAGAGCACAGGTGCGTCTCCGTGCATAATCCAAGCACAAGATGTTCTGTAACCAATCTGGATGGCTTCCATGCATGAAATAAATCATAATTCCTGATAAGATTCGAACCCACAGCTCTAAAGGTCTAGTGGTTCGATGACATAGACTATTACCACTTGGCAACGGAGGGCCAAAACTAGGCACAAAACTATGCTTTAAGAAAGGATTTTATAATGAAATGTGCTGATACCCATGCAGTACCATCACCCAACCATAATTTCTCCAAATAGCTTCTTCATATGAAGTTTACCATTTTCAAAACCATAGCAGAGAATGATTAATATTCAGCAGCCCTAACTAACCATGCCCCCTAAATATATAACTTCAGCTTGCAGGTGCCATCAAATTCTATTGATGGGACAGTGCAGACCTGAGGACCAGTCTGAACATCTTTGCAACATGGTCATGGTCTGGGCTCCGCACTATTCACTAATGTCAGTACATATTTCTAAATATTCCCAGAAATTACTGTATGGTTTTGTCCCAATCAAAAGAAGTCCATTTAAAATATTAAGCATGAGGCAAGGGTTAGGCCAAAAAAAAAAATATGTCTGGTTCAGGAAACATTGGTCCAAAAAATCAGGAGGGTAGGGATTTTTTTTTTTTTTTTTTTTGGTTGGGAGAATGTTTTTTTTTTCCATATATAGATGTGTTGCTTGCTTAACATACTTAAACAAAGATTGTAATCAATCAATGCAAACACCATTTTGTAATAAACTATCAGCATGTGATATTGTGTTGTTTATTTCTTGTATGTAGTCATTTAACCATGTAGTACCTGTATTCATACTAATTTGCTTTCTATTCTGCTTATATATTATGTACCCTTTCCCTTTGAATCACCTGCTGTACTATGCTAACCTGCATCTGGCAGGTCTGACAATTAAAAGATCAAGGGTCACCTCTGTAACAAGTGAATAATAATGCTGTATTATAAGCTTAGAGCATCTGACATGCACTATTCCGGGGACCAAAATAACACAGCTATACTGTATAGATAATTTTAATATTAAACATATTCAAATGGTCTTCAGGGGGCGCAAGTCTATAGATATATATGTGCAACTGGTACCAACAGTTGCAGGGTTCTCACAGAGAAGGAGTCTTGAGACTCCCAAGCACAAAAAAGTAGGAGTTCCAGATCACATTGAATATGTTAAGCCATCTTAAATTCTTTGCTGCACTTATATTATGCAGCTGACAAATATGATGTCTAGCAGAGTAAGGGGTTGGGGAGTCAGAGTTTGAACAGAGAAAAAGCTTATTCAGGAAAATGGTAATATGTCCCAAATGGAAAACACTGTACCATAAAAGTGATTGACAAGATTTGAAATATAATTTAATTTCATCAGACCTTACACCCCCCTCCCTTAAAAAAGAAAATATTTATTGTATGTTACAAACACATACTGGTAATGGCTCCATCTCAACTATTAATAGTTAATTTAATTCCTAAACTATATTTTAAGTGTTATTACACACATTTTAACAAATCATATCTTCCTTTTGGCTACGATTTTTTTAATTATAAAAAACGGCATCGCGAAAATATGTGACAATTGAAAATTTGTCTGTTTCCTGCAGAAACATTCACAATTCTACTTCTTGTTGATTTTGATCATATAAGATTAAATATTTTTTGATTATTTTAAGATTGTTACTAAACGGCTATTTCAACAGGCATCGTTAAACAAATTTTCACATTTGTAATTTTCGTACCCAAATATTTTCGTACCGAAAATCAAAAAAAAAGTTTAGGGTCGGCGGTAAAAAAATAGGGTCGGTCGGGTTCCCTGAACCAGACATATTTTTTATTTTGGCCTTAAATCATGACAAGTCTGCATTTAGAGCTCTTCTCTTACTTTACTGAGCTTTCATAATGAAAAGTCTGTTTAACACATTTAGTAAAGTACAGGTTATAACTTAAAATAGGTTCAATTATATTTGTGTGAATTAAAAGTCTATGAGGAATGGTAATATCGTTTTACTGAGAAAATTATGATTTATTTTTATATTCTGTTATAAATTGTGGAAAATTTCAGGAAAATTGACTAAACAGTGTCATTTGAGGAGGCATTAAATCAAGTCTTTTTTGCTAAACCATATAGATCAATAGTTAATTATAAGCCTACTTTATTAAGGATAAAGTACTACTTTTCATAGGAAATTATAACCTATTTAGTTATCATCAGTCAGTTAAAAAAAAATATATTGGACTCTATTCTATGCCATTTTTCTCAATAGATGTTATCCGAAAGTCGGCAAATGTGGATTTTAATCAAGCTAATCCCAAAGTACAAACTTTTACAGCGACAGCTTCCTGTGCACTACCAGTCACAGGTAAGTCAACCTGTTGCACTTATTTTCGAAGCTGTAACTATAAGCTGTTAACCCCCCCCCCCCCCGCGATTAGTTTGGGGAAAACCCAAAATATTCTTTAATCGGGAGTAAATCTATAAAGTAAAATATATTTATATGATTCTCCCTTTATAAATTAAATAAAATTCTGATCAAGCATGGCTTTCCTCCCTTTAAAATTCAAATACAAATCTGACTAAAGCATGTCTTAACCTCCCTTTCAAATTCATACAAAAATCTGACTAAAGCATGGTTTAACCTCCCTTTCAAATTCATACAAAAATCTGACTAAAGCATGGCTTAACCTCCCTTTATAATTCATACAAAAATCTGACTAAAGCATGACTACCTCCCTTTCAAATTCATACAAAAATCTGACTAAAGCATGGCTTAACCTCCCTTTATAATTCATACAAAAATCTGACTAAAGCATGGCTTAACCTCCCTTTATAATTCATACAAAAATCTGACTAAAGCATGACTACCTCCCTTTCAAATTCATACAAAAATCTGACTAAAGCATGGCTTAACCTCCCTTTATAATTCATACAAAAATCTGACTAAAGCATGGCTTAACCTCCCTTTATAATTCATACAAAAATCTGACTAAAGCATGACTTAACCTCCCTTAAAACTAACTAAAGTAGTACTTACCTCCCTTTACAATACCATTTGTACAAATAGCTGACATAGATAAAGAGGTTATCACAGTTACTACAGAAGACAGAAGTATCACAAGAGTAGCGAGCCCCGTGCCGGCCTGTCCTGTCACCCAGGACAGCCGCATAAACAACATCACACCCCATATATTTAGAAGACATCTTATCTGAAATATACAAATAACATTATAAATACAAACATAAAATTATGCTTCATTGAGAAAATAGTTATGCCTAAAGAAAAAAGTTCTTTACTGGAAACAGACTAAATCTTGTTTGTAGTAAATGCCTCAAGAAAGTAGTTTTATTACCAGAAATGGACAAAAGTCTTGTTTTTAGTTATGCCACAAGAAAAAAGTTCTTTACCAGAAATGGACTAAATCTAGCTTGGCTTTGATTTAAAAAAAAAAGTGATACTTATAGATTATAAATTAGACCACATCAATACTTGGTTACAGTGATATGACTGGCCCTGCTAAATCCTGGTAACATGAAGTAAGCGTCTAACACATCATATCACGGTATTTAGAAGGAATAGATAAACCTGGTAAATCAATATTTTATGAAGTATAGGGTTAAAACATGTCTGTACAGCAGTTTTAGGAATAAGTCCTGCTAACACTGTCTGTAACTCACATGATGCTACATTTATAATGTGACCAAAAATGGCAGCCTTTTTCAATACTTCATTATTTTTACGACATATTCTTCTTATCATTTGTTTTTTAATACTTTTTTCTACATAAAGTATAAATTTAATTAATGAAAGAAACCATAAGTAACAGAAAGTAATGCATCAAATTTAAAATTAAAAGGGACAACAATAATTTTAACACTCGGCTCAGTGATTGCCAAATTTTCATGTGGTGGCACTCATTATGGTTTCTGTAGTGAAAAGGGGAAGTAACTGCTACAAGGACTTTTCTATGTTTTTTTTAATAAGTGTACCGGAACGGTGTAAACTTTAGCGATGCTGCTACTGGTTTTCACGCTTTGCAGAAATTACGTTCTCCGCCTTATTTTGCGGCAAATTAAATCTAATTTTTTCCCGCATCTCTTTGAGTTAGCGAGTAAGTTATGGCCTATTTTTGTATTATGTGATTGTTATAGTATATTTTCTTTCCTTTTCCATATAAAGATCACGTTAATTAAGCATGTAGAGTCCGTAGTGTGTGTATATCATAGGCGCTTTTTTGCCGTGCTAGCCGTTCCCATTCCGTACGGTTAGGTTAAGCACCACTTATTTTCATTTGGGTAAATATGCCCACTAAATCATTGTGTGTGAAAGAAAAGATGGTTAAATAGATTTATGTTTTAACTGTTGATTTGTGACAATTTAAGTAATTTTTATACCAGTTGAGTGTTATGTTGGGCTATTTTGTAATGATGCTTGTTTAATTAAGGTGTCATGCCCTTTTGTCTTAGACTAGAACCTTTTGAGATATTTGCAGTATTATTCACTGTATTGCTTTAAAACCTTTTGATATGTTAAGGTTGTTACAATTATAATTGTTTGTTTACAGAGATGAGTGTTAAGACAGGAAGCATACTGTCCAGTCATTTCAAGCCAAGTTAGACAGTGCATGACGTAGGTCATTTTTCATATGTAAACAAATATGTTACTTGCTACATTTTTGGACCATATATTTTGCTTACATACTTGAATAGATTTATAGACTATATTGGTTGTTGATAGAAATATTCAATTCATACTTTAACTTTCTAGTCAGTTGGTAAAACATTATTATTTTTGTGTAGCTTTATTAAATAATTTTTAGTACATCTTTTCTGGTCAACTAGTTATAACTTTGTCTCGACATATCAGAATGATAAATAACTCAAGACTTATTTACTTAATATGTATTTCTTGTTTGTTCCAGTTCTTACGAAATAAATCCATAAAGCAACTTGGGTCGTTTCGTTATCTATCTGTCAGCTAAGGACAGAACAGTAAGAAGTCGGTAGACGTCCAGCTTGATTGGTGTAGTTTCAAAGCAGCAATGTCGGATTCAGAACAGAGTGATAAACTGTTGAATGACTTTTATGAATATGATGCTAAACTTGATGACTCTGTAAAAGCAGTGTTAAAGAAAATCGATGAGAGACTAAATGAAACAGACTACGTTTCACGAGTATCTGCACAATCTGGCAGAAGTACAAACTCACAAAACCAGCTCAGCAAGAGCACGCGCCAAACTAGAAGCTGCAAAGGCTCGAATGGAACTGTCAAAAAAGGAATTGGAATTGAAAACAAAGCAAGCGCTGATACAAGAAGAAAAAAACAGTTCGCGTTGCAAAAGCAGATAGAGAGGAGAAGGTTATTCAAGCCGAGTTAGATCTCTTGAATGAACAAAAAGATTTTTGCTGAGGCAGAAGCAGAAAATGAATTGTTTGAAACAATCAGTGAGTGTGATCTAGGTAGTTCTGTTGGAATCAAAGAAGAGGAGTCGCATGCTGAAAGAACAGAAAATTACGTGCGTGAACAACTGCATTATGTTAATGACAAAAATCAAAATGTGAACACTGAAGGAGAGCAATCTGAAATAAGACTCAATCCTAGTGCTCAAGTTTATACTCCGATACAGTCTGCAGATATGTTTAAAGACTTTGGTAAATTTCTTGTTAAAAAAGATGTAATGTTACAAAGATTTTCTAAATTCAATGATGACCCAACCCAGTACGTAATTTGGAAAAATACTTTTAAGAACGTTGTTGGGGAATTAGAGTGCACACCTAGTGAAGAAATTGATCTCCTGATGAAATGGCTCGGTCCAGAGTCATCCCAACAAGCAGGCAATTTACGAGCAGCAAACTGTCACGATCCAGTCATAGGTCTAGTGAAGATTTGGGAAAGGATGGAGGAGAGATATGGTGCACCGGAAATGGTTGAAGAAAAGCTGAGAAAAAAGCTAGAGGCCTTCCCGAGATTAGGCAATAAAGATTACAAGAAACTATACGAACTAAGTGACGTTTTGTCAGAGATAGAAAGTGTGAAAGAGAACGATTTGTATGCAAATATGTTAGGGTATTTTGATTCACCTATGGGTGTGAACCCGATTATTGCTAAATTACCAGTCCACATTCAAAACAAATGGTCTGATAGGGGTAGAAAGTTTAAGGTCTCACACTTGGTCACATTTCCACCCTTTACCTTTTTTGTTAGCTTCATTAAAGAGATGTGTAGTTTATACAATGATCCAAGTTTCAGGCATGATCAATCTACACAGAAGGGGCACAGGGAAGAGGCGCAGCAGAGATCTGGAAGACCGTTGCGGATCAATGCAAACAAAGGTGAGGTTAACAATACAGGTAGGACGTGCCCTTTACACAAATACGCGCAACATACGCTTGACACCTGCAGAGAATTTAGGAAAAAGCCCATAGAGGAACGAAGGCAGTTTTTAAAAGATAATAAGTTGTGCTTCAGGTGTTGCAAGTTTGAACATAGAATTAGGGACTGCAAGGTACCAATTAAGTGTGATGAATGCAATAGTTTGAAACATACAAGTAGCCTACATTTTGATTGGAAACCAACAGAAAAGTATGACAAGGCAAAAGGACAATGACAAGAAGCAAGAGAGTCCAAGTTCAAGAAGTCACGATAGTGTTAACTCCAAGTGTTCTAAATTGTGATGGAGATTGCTTCTTTGTGCAAATCATGTGCCAAAAATTACTTAAAGGGTTAACGTATACCACAAAGGGATAATACCAATTTTAAAGTAAAAATGTACGTTGTTCCTTGACGATCAAAGTAATAGAACGTTGGCAAACTCTCGCTTTTTTGACATCTTCAAGAAACATCTGCTCTTTTTAAAGAGATAGAATTATACCGTTGTTTCATGTAGCGGAAAAGTTTTACCACATCTGGGCGCACAGGACAAGGTTTTCATTATAGAGGGTAGTGAAGGACCCAAGTTCAATTTTACCATTAATTAACCGAGTGTTTCAGAATCCCGCAAAAAGGGAAAAATTGCAACTCCACTCACAAAATATTCTTACCCGCGAATTCTCGAAAAACCAGATTAGACGAGGAAAAAGACATCATTTGTTAAATTGCAAATTCCCAAACGTAACAGGAAAAACCCAAATTTTTGGGGTGAGGCCCCTTTATGCACAGTTGCTTAACTTAGGATGGTCTTATAGGAAAAACATGTTTGGAATCCCCAAAAACCCCTCCTATCTTGTTAAAAAAACTTCTTTCGAGACGGACGACAGCGATTTCCCCTCTTGTTTCAAAATTTAACCTAAAAGCCCATTTTTGTTTTTCCCCCTGTTTAGGGGATCGAGAATAGAGACGACAATAAATTTTTGGGACCCCCATAGAGGATCGAGAATTTCTGTCAATCATGGAAACAAAGTGTAAGAAAGACGAAAGAGGTTATTGGGTAGCACCACTTCCTTTTAGATTGGACAGACCGTTGTTACCAAACAATCGCGATATCGCCCTTAGACGAGCATTGATGTTGGACGCAAGCCTCAAAAGAAATACAACCAAGGCAAAGCACTTTGTTGAATTTATGTCAAAGGTCATGAAGTCGGGAGCTGCAGAGGTTGCACCACCATTGGGCAATGGAGAAGTCTGGTATTTTGCCAATTTTTGGTATATACCATCCTAAAAAAACCAGACAAAATTAGAGGCGTATTTGATTCCTCAGCCATCTGCAAAGGAAACATCCTTGAACAGTACCCTATTGTGTGGACCAAACCTGATCAATAGTCTGTTAGCAGTATTATTACGGTTCCGTAAAGACTCTTGTGCAGTAATTGCGGATATAGAACAAATGTGTTTACTCCTTTCTTGTGCAGGAGAAACCATCGCGACTACTTAAGGTTCTTTTTGTATAGGAACAATGACCCTGATGACAGTTTGATAGAGTACCGCATGTGTGCTCACGTGTTTGGGAATAGCCCATCACCAAGCAGTCGCTAATTACTGTTTACGAAAAGACTGTTGAAGATGCAGAGAAGGATGTAAATGCCTTTGTCAACAACAATTTTTTATGTAGATGATGGCCTTATTTCCCTACCAAATACTAATGACACTATAAGCCTCATGAAGAGAACCCAGGCTTGTCTCAGTACTGCCAATCTAAGACTCCATAAGATAGCCTCTAACAAAAAACAGGTCATGAAGGCCTTTCCTGAAGAAGACTTACAAAATGATCTTAAAATCACTTAACCTTGATGTAGACAAGCTACCTGTGAACCAGAGCCTTGGTTTGTCTTGGGAACTAAACTCTGATAGTTTTAGATTTAGCCTGGAACTTGAATCGAAGCCTTACACACGCCGTGGTCTTCTCTCAAACTCTGAATAGTGTGTACGACCCCTTGGGTTTTTTAAACGCCTTTCACCTTCGGGAAAGATTTTTTACCCGAGAAATTTTTAAAAGGCCCGCGCGGGAAACCCCTTAATCCTGATTTAAGACAAAGTGGGATGCCTGGAAAAACATTTTTTTGCGTCTCGCGGAAATCACAATCCCCGAATGACTTACCCGATCATTTTAGTTGTGTATTGAAAACACTGTGTCTTTCGGAAAAGCATCTGAAAAAACTGTAAGTGCGTAGCGTATATAAGTTCAGAGTGACGTGGGGAAGTTTTTAAAGGGTTTTCATTGGAAGGTAAGTTAGGGCCCACCAAAGGGGCATACCTACCTAGGGTTTGAGTTTTTTGACCCCCCTGCGCAAACTAGGTAGACAGTATAGTCCTTTTACGTAACTTTTCAACTCTGTTAGGATTTCAAAAGAAGGGTTTTTGTGGGTTACAAAAACAATAAAAACCAAGTTTTTTTCAACTATGTATGTAAAGATTTCAAGGTTTCTTCTTAACCCAAAGCTGAAATGGAGTATTGAATACAAAAACCAACCCCCCTGATATTGGGGGCAGAGGATGTATGTCCCAGCTGTTGACATTGGTTACAAGGGGCCGGGCCTTTTGCAGACTGCAAAAAAGGACATTCTTTAAACTTTTCCCTTGACTTACCGGATAAAAGTCGGCAAGAGTTTTTGTGAAGTCCTCATAACTACGGGGCACGCAGACCACTTTGAAAGGTTTTCTTGTTGGGGAAAACTGGGAACACATTTTTTTGTCCTTAAGAGAGCTGTAGAAAATTTTAAAACCCGCAAACATCTGATTTGAACAAATTGTTGGAAAATATCTACATTGTGGACTATCGCAAAAAAACAGAACTTTCATTGTTTGGCGATAGAAAGAAACATATTATGATGAAATAAAGTGTCTTCAGAAGTCAAAACCAGTTGATAGGAACAGCCCAATTGTTCAACTTAATCCAGTTTTGGACAAGGATCAGATAGTTCGTGTTGGAGGCCGTTTAGGTCTTATAGATAGCTCCGTACTTTCTAAAGACTTAGTGAAACCAGTATTGTTATCAAGCAGAGATTACATCTCAACATTACTTGTGCGTTACTACCATGACCTATGTAACCACCAAGGACGACACATTACTGAAGGAGCTATACGTAACGCGGGATATTGGATTGTTGGGGCCAAGAGGCTTATATCACGTATACTTCATAGATGTGTAACTTGCCGTAAAGGTCGTGGGAAAACAGAACATCAGTTGATGGCTGATTTACCGACAGATAGGCTAGTTCCTGGTCCTCCTTTTTCTTACGTAGGTGTTGACGTCTTTGGACCCTGGGAGGTGGTAGCCACGACGCACCAGGGAGGAGTTGCTCATGCAAAACGTTGGGCTGCACTTTTCACATGCTTAACCACCCGAGCAGTCCATATAGAAGTTCTTGAGGAGATGTCCAGCTCATCCTTTATCAACGCATTACGCCGCTTTATCGCTGTTAGAGGGAATGTTAAAGAATTCCGTTCGGACCGTGGCACAAACTTTGTCGGGGCGATGGATGATCTGAAATTTAACGTTGTAAATGTTGAAGATGAACCCGTGGCGGACTGTCTGGCTAAGAGCAGTGTTACATGGAAATTTAACCCACCTCACTCTTCCCACATGGGTGGAGTCTGGGAGCGAGTAATAGGGATGTCAAGAAGGATATTGGATAATGTCCTTTCAAAGGCTGCAAACAAGCATTTGACACATGAGGTTTTAGTGACCTTGATGGCAGAGGTGATGGCCATTTTGAACTCAAGACCTATTGCACCGATCTCTAACGATCCAGACAATGTAGCTGTTCTGACTCCTTCAATTTTATTGAACCAGAAGATTGATGGGGACCCTTCCATTTGTTTTGACTTGGACCTCCCAGACATGTACAAGAAGCAGTGGAAGATGGTACAGGTTCTTTCTGACTTGTTCTGGAAACAGTGGAAGGACAACTACCTCAATACTCTTCAATCAAGGAGAAAATGGCAAAAGCAAGAAGTGAGCATCAAGGATGGAGATGTTGTGCTATTGAAGGATAAGACTATTGTTCGTGCAGAATGGCCTGTCGGTGTGGTTGTTAATGCAATACCTAGTGAGAGTGACAAACTTGTTAGAAAAGCTGAAGTCCGAGTCTGCAAACATGGCAGATGTAGCACTTTAACTCGCCCAATTACTGATATGATTCTTCTTGTTAATTAAGACTTAATCAAAAACACTAGATATAGGATTTTGTGCTTAATTGATGTTACCTCTGTTAAAACATGTTTTTGGTTACTAGTATATTACTTGAACTATGTGTACCTGCTTGATTGATTGTACTGGCCAGTATGTGTGACTGCTAAAGTGTATGTATGGTGTATGATATTTTTTCACTTGAATTGTATCTTTTCATGTTTTTTCTGTAATATTAGTTGTGTGACTTGTAAATACCTATGTGCATTAGTAAATTTTGTGTCAATGTTGAGGACAAGACTCATATCTTCAGTACCACATTACAATATTTTATGTTCATTTTGATATAATTATGTACCTTAGGTCATTTATGCTATAATTGTAAACTTTTTTCATGTATCACTTTCATATGCATTTATGATAATTGTATGTTAATAGGTCTTTTTTTATCTTGTTTGAACACTACAGTGAATTTTAAGGTGTTCCACACATGAGTGCATTAATTAAGGTGGTTCTCACATTAGGTTGTTTGTTTTAAGGTGATTCCTCACAGGGGGAGTGTACCGGAACGGTGTAAACTTTAGCGATGCTGCTACTGGTTTTCACGCTTTGCAGAAATTACGTTCTCCGCCTTATTTTGCGGCAAATTAAATCTAATTTTTTCCCGCATCTCTTTGAGTTAGCGAGTAAGTTATGGCCTATTTTTGTATTATGTGATTGTTATAGTATATTTTCTTTCCTTTTCCATATAAAGATCACGTTAATTAAGCATGTAGAGTCCGTTGTGTGTGTAAAATCATAGGCGCTTTTTTGCCGTGCTAGCCGTTCCCATTCCGTACGGTTAGGTTAAGCACCACTATTTTCATTTGGGTAATATGCCACTAAATCATTGTGTGTGAAAGAAAAGATGGTTAAATAGATTTATGTTTTAACTGTTGATTTGTGACAATTTAAGTAATTTTTATACCAGTTGAGTGTTATGTTGGGCTATTTTGTAATGATGCTTGTTTAATTAAGGTGTCATGCCCTTTTGTCTTAGACTAGAACCTTTTGAGATATTTGC